TTGATTGTAGAGGTAATGTGAGGGAGAGGCCAGGGCTTTATCAAATAGGGCCGTGTATTCAGGTATTGTTTGTTGGGAGCTTGTTTAGCAAACATGTCGACATCCAATTTTAAGATCCGCGAACACGGTGACGAGACTGGTTCCTTCCAAATGTTCCGCCATTATGTACAATCTGCCCTTTCTGATCCCAACATCTTAAAGATCTTACTAAATATGACGTGACTGGCAGACGCTTCTGATTATACCAAATATCTTGCTTTTGTTTTACCCGATATACGTTTTTTTTTAATGAGGATATAGATCTACTTTAGAAATGTGTAAAAGTCTCGTGAAATGTCTCACTATTCCGTAAATGGATTGATTTAGATTTCATTTAAAGTCTATTATCAAATGGGAACAACACTCTGTGAAAATAATGTATTTTCCTATCTATAACGAGCAACATCTTAACTTCTGTAGAAAGCCAGAAGGGCGTTAACTCTGGGTAATATGATGAGAGTTAACGCCCTTCTGGTTCTCATCAAATTTTTCAGCCGTTTGATGATTTCTAAGACTTGGAGTAATTTATTTTTTTTCTATTTTTTTCAGAAATCACATAGTAGTAAAACTACCCATTAAACAGATTCGATCTGTCTTGACTGAGCAATTTCATCCTGTTACATATTTCGCCCAACAAATAATTTACCCCCAAAAGATGATATTCGACATAAACTTGCAGATTTAAATAATAATTGCTGAAACAAGTATTTAACTAATTTGAAATCATTGTTACTTTCCCCATGCTTTATCGCACCGTGCCGGATTCCTTCTGAAAGTCTTAGGAATCTGACTTTAGGTTTAAAGCGGTTTAGATAGAAATTATCCTCCTTCCACGGGCTTGGAATTTTCCACGGAATTTTCACGCCTCATTTAGTGTTTTAAACCAAGGTAAGCCAGTACGAAAAAAAAAATCTCGTTTTTCATTCGGTTGTTTTAATAAAGAGCACTTTTGATCCGTTACAGGTTGCTGGTGCCACATTATAAAGAAGGAAGGCTTAAATTTAAAGCCGCCGATTACGTCAGAAAAGAAAAACCTTCGGATAATCCCCTATAAGAAAGTGACGATATAAGAAACGTTAATTGTGTGAATCAGACCTAAGTTTTGGTAGAATTCCGATGTTTACAAATTAGAATCACACCGAACTGTGGGTAGACCAAATCCGATGTACCACAGACTCTTAATGATTCAATTGCTCATTTGAAACGTACCTCTTCGGCCAATATCTATATTATTTGTAAACATATTGACAGTACTTCTCAGAAGTAACATCATTAAAAACATGGTATGTGTGCAAGAAGATATCGCCTGTTGTTATGCATTTGATGTTGTTGTTTTCAAAATGTATGTATGTGGGTGGGGGAAGGCTTACAGTCATGTGCATGTGTGCGTGTTTGTGCGTGTGCGTGTGTTTGTGCGTGTGTGTGTGTGTGTGCGTGTGTACGCGTGTTATGACATTATTATGCAAGACAAATGAATGACAAGGGTGGATTATATGAGAGAATTCTTTTCTTTTGTTTTATTTCTTTTACTTTATGTTGGCGAAAATGATTTGACCGATATGACATTGACACATTTAATAATATGGGTGTCGAATGAAAGAAAGAGGAGCAAAGTGAAAGTGGAGGATTTTAATCGTAAACAATCTATAATGAAACATTTCTTAGTTTCCATGGTTTCACTCCAACCAGATGTAGATGATTGGGTGAAATTATGAAAGGCCATGCAGCATTTGCTTATCATAAACACCAAGATAAAATGCGAAGTGCCAAAATTGCTTGGCTTCATGGAGCTGGGGCAAAGAGAAAATAAAATTGATGGTGGTAATCATTCTCCCGCCTGACACGTATTATGTGAAACCGGTTTGCAAGAATCTGGAGCGTAGCCTTAAAGGGTGCACGAGCTTTTTCAAGTCGCCCTTTGAGTTTTAATCTCACGTGAGATAAAGCGATGTGCAAGTTTGCTTTCGGACCTTAATGATTCAAGTCCTTAGAATCTTTAGTATAATGGTTTCTTTCTAAACATGTTGTTTATTCATTCATGTGAGATGCAAACATCTTTCCCATAGCTGATTACACGGTATGTACTCGGGTATTGGTACTGGAGCTAAACTTGAAGTCATGAAGTAGGCCAAAAACTACCTTCAGATTGTTCTCCATACAACAAATCTGAAATCGTATTATCTTCTTTTTGGATGTAGATATGTATCATTAAAGATAGGAGTCTCATCTGAATACCATCATGTAAACTTGTTATGTACAGCAATACCTTTTTGGACAGACTGACCTTGAAAGCCACTCCAGCGACTTAAGAATTGAATCAAAACTGTATGATTTGGATCATATCATTTATCACAAGACAGATGACGAAATCGGCCAATGATTTTGTTCACTCTATCTTATTCTAAGTATTTGGTATAGAAAGACATTTTTGTCATCAACTGCAGTGGGGACGGTCTTTCTAATAAATGGCAGTCACCTGGCCTGGGGAGGATAGGCGGTAAAAGAATTTATTGCCTTCAACTTGGGGATGGTTTACGGCTAGATTTCACGCCGACACCTCGACCATGACCTAATTGTAAATGAGACTGGTAAACGGGTTTTCCATATCATCCAGCTTTACTACGATCGGTTAGGATTTAGAAGGGATGTGGGGGAAATGGTGGCGTGGTGAAAGGAGATGGGAGGGATTGTCGTCAACCAACCCCTTCCTCTTCTACCATCTAATCGCTTTGTCATACTACGGGAATACACGTATATCGCATACAATAAGTTTTTACGCCTGTGGGTGGACTGGCGGTTGCCAGAGTTGATGTCTATATTTTGTGATTAGCTCCTGTCTTTGTCGTGATCCCCTAGAAAAAATGTCTTAAGTCAGTTTTGTTTAAGAGAAGACTATAGTGGATGGATGACGAACTCAATAGGCCCATCTACATGTCTTCTGCGTTGTGTTTGGGTTAACTGAAAGTAACTTTGTCTTTACATATGCACTCGGAAGTAAAATACTGAGCTGGATAGTAGTCCAATCACTACCGTTTTATCTGTATCTACCGACCAGGAAACGTAGAGCATTCAAACATTAATGCCTTCGTAATTTTTGTTTTGATGATTGTTTTGTAATTGTTATGAACAAAAGAAATGTTTCAATGAATCACATCACCTTACCATTCGATTGACTGGTGTTGCCGATTTTGATTTTTGTTTTAAAGAGAAAGAGAACCAGGGGAGAACACGTCATCATACATACCGGGAAAGGGCAACGACGAAGAAACAGAGAACACGATGTGAAATTCTTCATCATAAATGACACAGGGCCAAAATGAAAGATAAACATATCATCTTACGAAGATGCCCCCTTCCTACAACTTGATCTTGGTTCTCTGTTTTTATAACCGGACCGTATGTTTGTTCTAAATAGAATGAATATAAATCAATATAACACTTCTTTTGGTCATCTTATATGTCTACTGTTTCTTTGCGTGGATACATATTCGACCTTTGACTGTAATAAAATGTATAGCAATGATATCAGAATGGCATAGCTCTGTTTTAGAGTGTAAACTCCGACATTGCGTCTTTTTTGACAAGTCATTTTATATAAATCAAACGAATAAGGCAGGTGTTAATCTGTCCAAACTAAAATTGAATCTCTCCATTATGAACAGTCGAATACAAATCTAATACGTCCTACTCCTATTCAATACAATACAATATTGACCCATGTTATAGCGACCTTACAGTAACTGCATCACATCGCTTTACAAACTTATTATATAAATGTATATTTTGTGATTAACATAAGACAATAACAATAACTACGAGGACATGCATTAAATGGTTGACAAGAAAGGTCCCGTGTAAAGAATGAACGTTATTAAACTTCAAATAAATTCAACAGCAATAACGTATGAACAAAGATTATAAAATTAATGTGAAGCACTCTTCAGGTGTTATCCCATGCGTTAAATGACAAGCATTTGGAAAAGAAAGAAAACGATTCGTTTGAAGTTATACTTCGATTTCCGATGTTTATTTGGCTCTCGAACTTTGCATCATTTCCAACTTGAATCAGCAAAGCTTGGAAGTTAGCAAGAGGTCCGAGAACAATTAAATGCAGGGGTATTTGTTTTGAAATAATCTTTAATGCATTAGTGGTAAACATACGTACCTGTTGTAAAAAATATCTGTAAATATTCATATACCTTTAATATCGGACGATATCGCGTAATAAAGAAAACTCCTCCACACCAGACATACACTTTAGCACTAGATTGGCACCCTGAATTTTAACGGCGTTTTAATAATGTTTACTCGTGATCAAAATCAGGGAAGGTCTGAAATTCATGGCCATGTTTTCTAGGACGAAATGTATACTTTTCAGATAAATTTGTTTGAGTAGTGAGTTCGTAAAATAGCTGCATGAAGGCAGCGGAGGTTGTATGTACACTCACGGTTGAACTAGGGTAACATACTTATATCTTGAATTTAGCTCAACTATTAGGTCATGGTAACGCACATTAACCGAGAAATCCGAAGGATTCAAAAGTAAGTAGGTATAACAGTAATTCTGCACACATTAAACCTAAGAGCTCTTAACTTTGAAGATTTTAACAAGAAAATGTACTGTGCTTAAGAGAAAAAGACGTGATGATACACATCTTATTCGTACAATATCAACTAGTAATGATGTCCTTCTTTGCCTTCTGAGCCTTGAGGTAATGAATATAGTATCCTTTCTAAAAAATAATGCCAAGGTAGAAATCTTTAAAGATTTGCTTATCAGGTTATGCGACACAAAAAAAGGGTTGGTATAGGATTTGTCTTAAAAAATTCATCAAGTACGACCTATCTCTTGGTGGCGGTACGCATCTTATAACTGAGTACTGTCAAGTAATCGGACATCGCACATCCACACTAAGTCTTTACGAACTGTGTTAACATTTTCATCTGCTCAAAATACTTACATATGCTGAGCACCTTTCCAAAGACATTATTGCTATCGACCGTGCTGCAGTTCCACCTTCTGTTGGTGAACTGGTTCTGGCACTCGTCGATGCTCATCTTGGCACCCTCACCAATGGGTGCCATATGGTCCTGGTAGAGCTGGCATAGCTTCTGCTGACCCGGGGACAGACCAAGTAACTCACTGCACAGGGGTTGGGTGCCCAGGATGAACAGCTCTGGGTTCCGGAAGGCATCGAATTGCTGGACTCTCGTGTCCAGTCCTAGATTTCTGTAGAGGGAAAGAAGAAGGTTGGAACAAAAAAGGTTTGTAAGTTATTGACATGTTTTAAAGGAAAAGAGAGTCTTGAGATGTTTGGTAATTCAGAGAAAGGATATATTTCACTCAAATGTCTTTCTGTTAATTTCCTCTAGACCTGTGTACTTTTTGGACAAATTTCGTCAAATTACCACATCAAACCTACCTCATTAGAGTACTGTGGGATGATTTATGCATTTAGAAAACTAGACAAATGCAAATACTGACACTAATACCTCACTTGCAATTTATAGTTTTGGTTGTTACTTTTGTCCTATCTTTGATCATAAAATCGACTCCAACTGGACAAAAATTGATCGATTCTTGGCCATTTGGGGTATCATAATTGTTGTTTGGTCTATTGTCGGTCTCATTGTTGTGACGGGGTTATTAAGAGGGGGTTCCTTGTGTTAAATGTTCATAAGGTGAGATGCCATTCAACAACAACAACTATAATTGTTTGTCGGGGTTTGTATCTTTGGAACAAAAGATAAGTATCACACATGTTGAGTGATCAGCGGTTACAATAAAGAAAATACAAAATCGAGCTATTCAAAAGATGACATTTTTAGAATGAGAAGTCGTACTTTTTCGACAAGTTTGTCAGATTCTGGCGTCTATAGAACTTAGGAAAGCTTCCATTTACAGGCTCCACTTCTTCATATTCATTAAAGAAAGTTGATCAGACTGTGAGCTAAATGGTAGGTTACCTCTGTTGTCCTCTACCGCATTTCAGCTGCTCTCATTTGTTCTTTTGAGATCTCCTTGGAAACCGATTTGCGTATTTGAAAACTTCAAAGGGTTCTGGGAAACCGGACAACTTTGGGTCTTATGACATCGACGAAATATCCCTTCTATGGATCAGGATACATGACATAATCTGACTTTAGGCTATGTCTGAGTATAGGTTATGAAAACGTCTGTATTGTTAGGCTTTGATGTACATTTAGGATTTCAAAAATGACAAGCATTCTGAAAATATTGCAGGTCTTGCTTCGTGTTTCAATAAACACCTTGAACTAAAGCAAAAACAAATAAATCGCATAACCATGCAACTTGGCATATCATGGATATTGCAGTACTCAAAAAGTTGACTACAAAGTTGGCTACATGTTAGATTTGACAGAAGCAACATGTGTAGGTTGAAATTAATCATTGGGACTACATAATAGTTTCTTTAGGAGGGAGGGAACGGCCAATCTTCTTTTCAAACTATGTCCACTCCATCAATTATCATTGGTGTGCAAGACATTCTATAATGGGTTCACACAATACATAACCTAATACCTCAAACGGTCCGAAGGGATTTAATTCCGCTAGAAATTGACTTTTAGAATTCTTGTAATTGAGTTCTTTTTATCTGCGACGGAGTGGATCAGAAGTTACAGCTATGAAGTGACTCTAATAAACTGTACCTGGGTGTAATAGAAGCAGCTTGGGAGAAGGTAATAAAATAAAAGAGCCGCTACTTGCACGCAGACAATGATGCGCTGCAAAAATGGTGGATCGATAGCTGACTACCGCTGTGAGTCAAAGGCGGATTTAAACGGACTCTTTCGAGGTATTGCGCTCTAATACGAGAACAAAACGTATAATGTGCCGCCAGTCAGAATTTGATTAAAAGTCTTTTTGAGGCGATCTCGTTGAGCTCCCATGAATAAAGAGGTATCGCTTGTCGCCCTATTGATGTGTCATTCCTTCGCTCCTTTCAAGTTATTTTCGCGATACGTCTTGGCGCAATTCAATGTAACCGTGATGGACGTACGATTAAGATCCAGCCATCCGTCACACCATTCGAGGAGCACTTAAAGGCAGGGTGCAGCATTTGTAACTGTCAAGAAACATCGGTACCCTAATCACTTAAAATGTTTTTCTTTAAACCAGAATACTCTCATTTTTCAATTTTACATGTGTCAGTACCATCTCTTTGTACGAGGACAACTATGCAGAGTTTAATTTTTTTTTTTCATAAACGCGTATTCATGGTGACCCTGCCATCAGGCAAATATTGCCCAAATTTTGTATATGATTGATGCATAACGATGAGGATCTTAAGGCCGATATGATGAATTTCGTTTCATAAGTATTCCCATAAAGGTCCTTTTTTATATTCTCTTAGAAGATGCTCTACGTTTTTATTTGTCTTTCAGATATTTCCACTTCCAAGGGGCGGATCCTATATCCACCTCATGACTCCCCTGTGTCTGTAAGGATTTGATCTAAGTTTCAATCCACGGTAATCCTTCTTAAATTTATCTATTGGATTCTTTTTTATTTGATGCATGATCAGGAATCATTCATCATGAAATACTTCACCAAACCCTTACTTCTTTCACTAACTTTCTTCTAATCTTTCTCTTTTGGTCTCTAAAGGTAAATGCATATCATACCATAAGATTCAAACATTTAGAGCATTTCGGTATGACGCGAGTCAGTTATTCTATAAAAAAAAAAGACAAACCGTTTCCTCGATCAATAGTAGGCCTATTTTCCATTTTCTCTGAAGAAAGAGCCGCTTCCCGAACATTTTCGATCTGTTGCTGAAGCATGCCGCATTGGACCGTTATACAAATCTCTTGTTGTCAAGAGCGTTCAGCAAGAGTAATTGATCTAATTAAACATATACCAAGATCTTTTCTGAGCTTGAAGAGCGAGAAGAAAAGAAAAGGGTTGAGTTGAGGTTAAAGATGGCGTCGTGGGTTGATAGCAGATACAGAAGGGAAAGGAAACAATGCAAGGCCACTACATGGTGGGGATTTGGCTACTCCAGCTTGGTGCTGATACCACTCGGGAACAATAGACCCAGGGAAAATATTGGTTACGGCCTGTCGAGCTGTAGTCGTCGGATTGTGAGAAATCACTTTCTCTCTCTCCTTTTCTATCATTATTCCTATTTTCCCTTTTAAATCCCCCTCTATCTCTCTAGTTTTCCCCTTTTGTCCTGTACAGATGTTTACCTCGTTTTCTCTCTATAAATGGGTATATCTCCTAACCAACCATTTTGAAATCATCTATTCATCTCTGTCATTCCACTTTCAGTTATTTCTTTCTTCCATCTGCATATTCTATTTTAAATCTGAACTATTTCCCCTATTTTAATCTCTAATTTTATGTGCGTATGTGTGTATGTTTTGTGTTTATTTACAAACCATCCGTTACCCTCTCTGTCCCTCTCATTCTTTCTCTTTGTTTGTTTATTCTAACATTTATGTTAATTCACACTTGCTATCCATGTGCCTGTTTCCGTCCATCTATCTTTCTTCTAAACCTTCAGTCTCTTCCCCTCTCCTTCTTACCACACTATCCAGTTCTGTCGCCAAGCAAAATGTGCGGCGCCACACAAGCATGGCAAGGGAAAGATGATAGCAGTTCCATTGGGTATGTATGGCGTAGGCGTTCATGTAATTCCAACGTTCTACCTAACTCCATTTCGTTACGTTACATTAATTGCCCTTTGCCCTTATGTCTGGCTGACTAAAATGATGTCGAAAATTTGCACCTATTCCATGTCAATTTCAAGAAAAAACAAGCTACGCAAAAAGTATAAAAGACGAAAACACATTCCTTTTCATAATGCAATATAAGTTCTGTTCATAATCTTTCATTCATTGCACTTCTTTCGTTAACATATAAACGGGTCATTAAGTTAAATGACAATGATTATATATTTAGAGTAAATTGTTTATCGTTAGACGGCTGCATGCAGAGAATCATTAATCGGTCCCGGTGGACTGGTATAGGAACGAGTGACCGACCTTCCTCCCCGACCTACTCTATCGCGAAGACCTTGTCCTCAATAAGAACCCAATTTTCACGGCTCTTTTAAGAGTGTCACTCAACTAGCTAATCTGAATGGTAAAGGATTCTCAAAACATTTGAATGAAATATGATTTAAACTAGGTGCCATTTATTGAGATTTAAATAGCAAACAGTTAAGTGTTGAATAATGCCGATATACGAATGTTATTTCGTCCAATCACGCAAAGAGATGGAGCATTTCCTTTGATGATGTTTCTTCATCTTGGGAAGATCATTTCTAAACAGGTTGGCTAAAAGACACGTATTTTCAGCATCAGTAAGAACAAGACAATTATCAATCTATACAAAAGAAAGAAAGGCTCACAGTTTCATTCACTGTGATGATTTTATTCTTTTTTTTTCGGGAGGGGGGGGGGCTTGGATGTCGACAAGCTGCCATCTTCTACTTGATTTCGATTTCATTAATTCTCATAAATATATGGCTTGCGGACAATATCTTAAATCGTAAAGCTATCAGTTGTCACGCTATAGTGCTCCCTCCCCTCCCCCTCTCTCTCTCTCTCTCTCTCTCTCTTTCTTACATCATAGATCCAATAAGTATGTTTTAACTCATGTTGACCCCCTTCAAAAAAGTCAACAAGTGGGGATATTGATTTTTGTTTATTTATTCTTTCTTGGTACTTGCTAAACCTGTTTTACTTTGAAAGTTATGAAGAAGAAAAACAACAACTTTATTTTCCCCTAATAAGATGAAAGGAGACGGAAGATGAGCTCTTTGGTGATATCTATCCTTTCATAATTATATGCCTACATACATTTGTCTCACCAATCGGACATCACATTTATCTTCTCGTCATGATTAAAGGTTTTTATCACCATATAGAAAATCTCTAACAGCATCTCCTCAGGGAGAGATTAGATAATCAATGTGTTTATATATAGTATACTGAAAGGAATAACCTACTGCATTTTCTTCTCTTTGTTATTGTCAGTATAAATGGAATTTATAGGGCGTGCAAGATAGAGTTGGACTGTGAGTATAACAAAAAATAGCCATGTCTGGCATCCTCTTATAATTATTAACTTAACAAAATGCTGTTAATCCTGAGAGCATTTATACGGTAAGGTGCCATTATGACCTAATCTGGTATGTTGGTGGGTAGGCATTAATGATCCGTTCGTATTGATAAACATATGTAATCACTACAAATTGAGCAGTACCAAAGAACCACATATGTATAATCACTTTTATGGATTCCGTAAACTACTCACAAATCAGACATCATCATAATGACTTCGAACATAAAAGCTTAACTCGACAAAGAAAGGAAAGTGTGGGGTGAGAAGCTGAAAGGATATGAAGCATGTATTTACATCAAAGGAGAAAGTTTGTGTAGAAGCTAGGGATATAGATAGAAAGAGGGAGAGAGACAGAAGTAAAGAGAGGGGAACGATCAAATCAAATTATTGACTTACATCCATGTTGTATCTTGTGCTCTCGTGAAGGATGGTGATAAAATTCCAACAAAAGTCCAAAGTAAGATTAAGGCGTTTGATAGTATCGTCATAGACGGTCGACATAGGAGACGAGAGAAGCGTCGACTTATCTTCCAAGACGTCTGCGATCTCCGATTCGACGTCATGTTCTTGCAAGGGCTGGCAGACGGAGAGTTACTCGATAAGGAGTTCGTACACGTTTCCATTTTGCTTTTTAATAATCAAAGCCAACAGCTATAGTTCATGGGACAGAATGATCTTCGTCATCACGCCGATGAGATGAAATTGACGAAGCTTTTCTGTATTTATGCTTCCCTCCTTCTTTGTGGGTTGGTAAAAAAGCAGGTTCTTTGTCAGTAGAACTGCCGTCTCCTACCTGTCCAAGAGTAAAAAATCAGTGCTGTATCCTCAATCACTACCGGCCGCTTTTCGAGCAAAGTCCTTCCTTATTCCTGAAAATGAAAGAGGGGAGAGCAAGAAGACAAAAGCTGGAATCAAATATGTTAAAGACTTAACGAACAAATGATTGAAAAGAGATATGAAAAATGCACACCCCACGATATGAAATTATAGTTTAGTTTACCACCGGGACCAATACACACCTACCTTTGATCATGGTATGTGGGAGGAACGTAATCCACAAGGTCTTTCCAAGATAGAAACCATCAACATGCCTCAAAAAGATGACGTAGAATTGTCCCGAATGAAATTTGATGACGGAGATCAATATTCAATGTTTTGACAAAGCCGGGCGAAAATCTTGCGAAACTTGTTAAAATTTGCCACCTTCGGCTTCTGAGAGCTGTCTCTCGTAAGCTCGAAAAGATGAGGAGTGAGAGAGAGAGAGTCTGACGGATAGGTCCTTGTACGTCAGCTGCCTGCGAGACAAATGATTACCTGGTTGTGTGTACGGAATATTGGGTGCACTCACAGCCCTCGATCAGTAAAGAAACCAAGAAAAAGCTTCGACGCGACCTCTCATTGGCTCGTACCAACATAGGTCGTTTCGCTACACCTCCCTCGGACTTTGATACTACTCCTTTGGCATGTGAATAGCGTCAACTAAACGAGCCAGCTAAATTCCCACCCGTCGCTCTAAAAAAAATAATCACACTTTCATCTTGCTCATGAATGAGGATAGTGATGGAGCTAGGAATTTCAAGTCAATAACACGAGATATAGAATGACAAAGAGAATGAATGATCACATAAAAGAAACAAAATCGAAAAGGAACCGTTTACAAAATCTGAGGTGTCAAAAGGAAGAAGTGGGTATCGTGGCCGCAGGGGCGGCGATCCCGGGGCGAACGGGGAGGGGGGGGGGGGGACATGTTCCCCCTCAAGTATTTTAGGGGGATCGTCGTTCCCCCCCCCCCCCGGAAAATTTGAAATAGCCAACAAAATGTTTAGCATACACTGAATAATATGACTGCAACACACTTTTAAGCTCTGGAGGGCCCAAGAGTGCAGCGTTTAGACTAATACAAATGCAACAAAATTCTCGCTCGGTCGCTACGCTTCCTCGCATAAAATCCGGTCGCGTTAATTTTTTAGTCGGCACAGATTGGGGTTAGGTGCGTGTTGAGCCTTTAAAAAAAAGCCCCAATGTGTGCCGCAGAAGAAAATAACGCCCCCGGTCATGAATAGAAATCGCCGCCCCTGATCGAAGGATGAATATATCAAACAAAATTCTTTGAAACTTGGATCGACAATGGTGCATTGGTGGTGAGGGAGAATACCACGAGATGATTTGTGACGAGATGACATAACCATTCAACACATCTAGGAAAATAATAACATAAGTGTCTAAGTAACGAACATATGTAATATTAAAGGTAATACAAAGATTTGGTATGGGGTCGTGAATTTGGTTCAAATGAACATATTGGAAGCATATGCGATCCTACAATATTCATTGATCGTTATCGCGGTCGAAATCGACTCTAAAGTTATGAAATTGTAAATAATAAACACTTTATGTTGTATAGCTCCCTCTCAAGGTCAAGATATTAATTAAACGATAAAACTATGTTTCTTGACTAAAATCGACCGATTAGCTATCCCCGTTCTGAAATTGTATACCTCAACTACATATTCTGAGATTTTCATGGTCGCAGCTACCATTGTACGGCCGTAGGAGCTATTTGAAATTTATCAACATTTACCGGGAGCACCGGTAAATCTTTATATTCAATTTTTCTCAAAAGCAGAAGTGTTTTAGGGGCTAAAGATTCTAGTGTTTTTAATACATCCACAGGGGCATCCAAATATATCAAAATTGTAAAGAATCACTATCCACCCATTTTTCAAAATTTCCCAAAACTTTGTAATACCTTTAAACACTCATACCATTTGTATGTGTGGACGGGTGCGCGCATGTGTGGGTGTGTGTGTGTGGGGGGGGGGAGACATAGGTGTAATTGAAAATAAATTATCATACAGATAAACATTCAAATTTGTGCATGAGATATCCTTTTCCAGTTTTTCATGGGGATAAGCAGCATCTAGTTTGTTATCGATGAAATGGTTTCACTATTAACAGCGGACTTATATCCATATGTTTTGCTATAACCAAACAATTCCTAAATAGGCATTTCGATTATAAATTACTCCCAAAGAACGTTATTTTTAAATGGAGATTCTTATTGAGGTGCTTGTACATGATTTCCGTTATTGTCTGTGATTTTGAAGTAAACAAGACAAGTGCAACACTTGACAATGGTTCAGGTATCCAACAAAATATAATGTTCTGCACGTACTACTTCGCTTACCCTCCCATCTAACACGAACAAATAGTTACATATAACCATTTACATCTAGATTTACAAAGAAAAGCTCCAAGGAAACGTATCCAATTGTTCGAAATCAAGAAAGGATCTGCATATCCATCATTGATTACCGCCCAATACGCTTTTCAAATCGGCAACCCCTTTGGGGGATCTTCGTCAGGATATAAAGTTCCAATTAATCACCGGATTTTCGCAGATCTTCATACCTCTAGAGAGAGAGTCAGAGACACACAAAGGAGGTGGCTAGATTCTTTGCTTGGCGAGCTAGGCTTTGGACTGATTCGATGTTTCCATTGAGATGTGTGTTTTGAACGTGTCAAACTTGGCGGTGGAAGAAAGAATGATGACATTGTGCGCCCATATATACGACAATGAACTTGGGGGCTCTAATAAACATGTAAGGACTACAAAGATAGCTTTCACAGATCCTTGTTCATCTTTAGAGATCGATGTCGCATTGTCAATGGTTCAGAATGAACTACAATAAAGCTCCATTCTATAAGATTACAGTATTTACAGATACCTGCAGAAATACAGTCTATAATGAACTTGCCCAATTAGTTTTGGTGGGTAGAAGAAACAATACGTTCATCCCGTCGTTAGGCCTTATAAATGTCGGACTTATTCTTATTTTGATGGAGTCAAACTTAGTAACACATGTTCTTCTAAGATTTTCAGTTATGGTTCAGCAATACTTTAACAGCAATTGAGAGCGATGATTCTCGGTGTATCTTCTAATATAGATTAAAAAGTTTGGTAATCACACGGCCGCTCTTAAGATATAATTTTCTATATACAAAAAAATGTAATGAGTTCACTTAGGGTTGAGTTCCAAGTGTAAATTGGACCCCTCCTGTTTTTGTTTTTGTTTTGTTTCGTTCTACTATCCAAAGTTGAAATCATATGCCTGTGAAAGGTGTACGTCCGACTATGACAGGAAAATTCACACAGTAGATATAGTGCATTATTATGAATATACACAGGTTTGCACTCAAATAAATGCAATGAGCGTGGCTTTTAGTAATATTGAAAACAGTTTAATAACTGTTTTTATTGCATGAATATCAAGTATTGTGGAGAATTAAGGACATAATCAACTTCATTATTCAATTTATTTCATTCGTCTGTAACCGAACCTTTGCATTCTTGTAATATTTCACCGCTGTGATAGAGGTATCATGGTCAAGCTTAAAAACAACATTGACAATCTGACAATGTCGTGTTGACTTTCTCAGTCATTCAACCCGGACGTATTCGAACAAAGTATGACATTTTCATTTCTGTTAGTGTCTACTATATGGCAAGTTGGTAGTTTAGCTCGGAGGGGGTATATATAGCCTGTGAACAGACTAACCACCGATTGACACATGGAAGGGAGCGCTATGCCTCAAGCGCTCACAAAAACCCTTTAACATTCAATTAGGAAATTTATGAGAAACCGTCACGTCAAAAATAGAAGCGGAGAAGTTGATTTTGACGTAAACCGTGAACTCTGTAAAAATAAAACTACTGGAAGCAAGGGTAAGAAATAAAAGAAGAACCTGAAATAAAAATCAAAACGAAGGGAAGTCGGGGAAAACAGAAGGGTACTTGGCAACCCCAAGGGGACCAAACTCATGGTTTCGAGCTCTTTCTAGAAAAATTAACAATGGTTGAAGTTTTGGCGAATACCTTCCTGCAAAGCCACGAACACTGGGAATATTTATTGAGAGGAAAGGCTAATCTACCTGTAGAATAGCTCGCATAGTTGTTGCTTGTGTGGTTCGGTACGAAATTTAACACGTCCAACTATTATGAGTTTTATTGCCTAAAAAGTGTTATTCCATTATGAATGGTAACAAAACGAAAGTCTGTTTTTAAGCAAAACATAGTTATTGCATGCCGGTCAAATTTCAAAGTGGCATTGAATTTGACTGACCAGAAATTAAAATTGTTGGCATACCGCTTAGGTCGCTGTCAAAACTGGACGGAAGTTTGAGAGATGACCAATGACCATCGGCCTTTGGTGGCCTACTTTATATACAACGAGCGGGATTTTTATTTTCGGAATAAATTCATTAGTTCCAATTCGACAAGTTCAAAATATTAATAACGATATTGACAGAGCTTTTACTTTACTTTGAGTCCAAAAAGACGTATATTTTTCACAATCACGTCAAAGGTTACACTAACATAGAAAAGTTGCAGAACATTAAAAGTTTAGGTAAGACCACCGAATTATTAGTGAGGTTGTTGAGCGATATTTGTTCACGCAAAGAGAGAAGACCGATATGTTCGATGTGGTGTTCATTCAGGTACTAATAACTTAAATTCACAAGAAATCATAGACTGAACTTCAAAATATTTGGGAAAGATAAGTGCAATAAAATGAGAACATATTGCCTTATAAATGTACATTAAATATAGGTAGAATGCTCTCTTGACTGTAAAGGACTGATCTACAATATTGATAGTATATCCACTGATTTAGTAACTGAGCACACTGAGGAAAAGATTCGTCGAAGGGGCTAATATTTTGACTACATGTGTATCAAATAAATGGGTTGCATGAATAAGCAGTAATTGTGTAGTATAGCAATGAAGTAGCATTAGCGTCAGGTTAAGGAGCTGAAATGGTGATGCTTGAAATGTAATAATGGAGGCTTTATAAAGGCTATTTTATTTACATTGTCTACATTGGTACCGTCGTTTCTATACGCTCTCCTATTTCTCAAAATAGGATTAGTAATATACAATGGTATAACACCGCCATAAACGCCATCGTGTGAGATGCATGTTTTTATGATGTCTTCCAATTCAAGTATTTGTTAGCTCTCCTGTCTCCCTCTATTACTGTAATGACTTTGTCTTCTCCCCAAATTTATGACGAGTCTCGAACCTATACAGGCACTTCTCATTGCGTTTGAATATAACGAAATTTAATTGTATTTGTATATGTACAATGTACGTTGGGCGGGTGCATGCTACTCATTCAAATATATGTTTGAGGACCACTACAACTAATTAAATGGATGGCAATTCTTCTTACTATTTTCATAAACCGTTTGAATTTAACGATATTTGACTAATTTATTCCTTGGACCAAGTTTTTCAGGGCCCAAATCACCACCCTCCTCG